ATCTTATTTGGAAATTACAGACTTCATTGTAAAAATTGAAACTATAAAACTTGTAGACAAATGGCAAAAAATCTTCAGGATCTAGAACTAAGCAGAATTCTTAGGCTTGACATGAAAAGCACAATCAATCAGTCATGGCGTGGTAGCTCATGCCTGTAATCCCAGCACTTTGGGAGGCTGAGGCGGGCAGATCACCTGAGCTCAGGAGTTCAAGACCAGCCTGGGCAACATGTGAAACCCTGTCTCTAAATAAATAAATAAGTGGAAACAAAGCACAATAAGTAAAAGAAGAAAACTAGTAACGAGGACCTCATGAAAATTAAAAAGTGTTGCTTTGTGAAAGTCTCTGTTAACAGGATGAGAAGTCAAGCAATAGAATGGGAGAAAATATTTTCAAGCCACATCCAACAAAGGACTAGTTACTAGAATATGCAGAATATGCAAAGAACTCTCAGAGTTCAGCAGTAAAAAACAAACAATTCAATTAGAAAATGAGCAAAAGGCCTGAATACCCTTATTACCCAACAGGATTTACAGATAGCTCACATATGAAAAGATGTTTCCTTAGCCATTGGGGAAAGGCAAATTAAAACCATAATGAGATACCACTATGAACCTATAAGAATAGCTATCATTAAAAATAATGATGACACCAAATGCTGGTGAGGGCATGGGAAACTGGATTGCTCATACGTTGCTGGTGGGAATGGAAAAGGGCACAGCCACTCTGGAAAATGGTTTGGCAGTATCTTATAAAACTAACCATTCAACTACCATATGATCCAGAAATTGCATTCGTAGAAGTTTATCCCAAAGAAATAAAAATGTGTGTTCACATAAACAGCGTACACAGATGTCCATAGCAGCTCTCTGTGTAACAACCAAAGCTGGAAGCAACACAGATATTCTTTGATGGGTGAACAGTAAACAAACTGACACATCCATACCATGGAACGCTACTCAGCAACAAAAAGGAACAGACTATTGACACATGGAACAACTTGGATGGCTTTTTTTTTTTTTTTTTTTTTTGAGATAGAGTTTCGCTCTTGTCGCCCAGGCTGGAGTACAATGATGTGATCTTGGCTCACTGCAACCTCCGCCTTCCTAGTTCAAGCGATTCACCTGCCTCAGCCTCCCAAGTGGCGGAAATTACAGGTGCCCACCAACATGCCTGGCTAATTTTTTGTATTTTTCGTAGAGACTGGGTTTCACCATGTGGGCCAGGCTGGTCTTGATGTTATATGGAAAAAGCCAGTCCCAAAGCATTACATCCTGTATGATTCCATTTATATAACCTTGAAATGACAAAATTCTAGATATGGAGAACAGATTGGCTGCATCCAGAAGCTGGGTGGAGTGGTGGATGGGGGCAGGGGTGGGTGTGGCTGTGAAGGGCGGCAGGAGGGAGGGAGATGTTTGTGGCGATGGAACAGTCCAGCATCCACATTGCCGTGGTGGTCCACAAATCTACAGGTGTGATAAAAAGGCACAACTGTACCCATCCAGTCACACGTCACTTAAAAACAGGGATACATTCTGAGAAATGCCTCTTTAGGCGATTTTGTCATAAGACTGTCACAGAATGTATTACACAAACATAGGTGGCAGAGCCTGCTACACACCTGGGCTGTATGGTACGGCCTGTTGCTCCTGGGCTATGAGCCTGTGCAGCGTGTTACTGTACTGAATACTGTGGACTGTCCTGTGTGCTCTCGGTCACCCTGTCCAGCCCTGAACACAGTGGCATTTGTGTATCTAGGCAAAGAAAAGGTGATGTGTTATGCTGCGATGTCACTAGGTGACAGGAACCTTTCAGCTCCACTATAATCACATGGGACCACCATCGAATATGAGGTCCATCGCTGACTAAAACAACAGGGTCGTGTGGTGTGTTCCCATGCGTTGTACCAACATCAATTTCCTGTTCTGAGATTCCACTACAATCACAAACTGGTGTAGAGTACACAGGGCTTCTCCTGCTCTATCTTTGCAACTTCCTGTGAATCTATAATTATTTCAAAGTAAACAGTATACTTACACACACACACACACACACACACACACACACACACACACACAGTCCCACAAAGCCCTTGGGAGCATGGCAGGAGAAGGAACTAATAGCATAGGAGTGCAAATAACCTGGCATGAAGCAGTGAGGGCTTCCACTTACAGCAGCTCCACTCTCAAAATGTCGCTCACTGCCCTCCCTCTTCCTGCACCCGGCACAGTCCAGCAGCCCTGATCTTCCCCTGCTTGCTAGTTCCTTCCCCTCCCACCCCAGCTGTGCTCTGCAGTAATGTCCACGTCCACCTGTCCCTTCCTGCACTTCCTTCTCTTCTCTGCCTTGGGCTGCCAAACCTTCACCACCCCTCTGGCCCCACTCCAAGCTACCTAATCAGAGGAAGCCATCCTCCTGGCCAGGGCTGGGCGTGTGACCCAAGAAGAGTCCTTGCAGGGAGCTTCCATTTGACCTCTGCAGCTCCGGGCTCAGAGAAAGACCTTCCACGCGCATCTCCAGGGCCACCACTCCAGGGGAGCCACTTGTGATGTGTTCTACATGACATTTGGCTCAGAGGGATGCTAAGCCCCAGTCCCAGAAGAGGAAACTTCAGGAGGGAAGGCATGCCAAAGCCAAGACTTGTGTGGGCGCAGACCAGCCAGGAAGGAGGGGCCCGAGCCCCCCAAGCTCACCCGCCTCTCAGGCCACCAGCATACCCTCCACTGGGCCTGCCCCCTGGCCCCATGGCTACTGGTAGCCAAGGAGCCCTCACTGTGCTTCAGACAGTCTGGGGGGGCGGTTACAGCACCCCACTCACACAGAAACCTTTCTGGGGTCCCTGTCACTCTCACCTGCTGCACAGGATGGAGCTGTGGGAGGAGGCCAGGGTCTCAGAGCAGCAGCGCTTAGCGGGTGTTGGGGTTCTTTTCACACGGAGGGGCCCAAGCTGAAGGGGCTGGAATCAGAGACTCCTGGGAGGCCAGACAAGGGCATTCTCTCATTCCTCCTCCTCCCATCTCCTCGCTTCTCTACCTCCCTTCCCTCCCTCTCCTCCCTCTCTCTTCATCTGCCCCCCTCCCTCTTCCCCTCTTGCCTGCTTCTCTGTCTCCCCTCCAAGGCGTGTCAGAGCTAAGCAGAGCCAGCAGAGCAGCGCTCCTGTCCTCACCTGCTTACCCCCCGCGCTGGCCCCCCAGCCCTGCTTTTCCCGGCTCTGTTCCTGGCTCCCAGCCCCCTGCCACCCTGGGCAACCTGGCCCAGCCAAAGCCAGGCTGTTTTGGAAAAGTGCAGAGAAGTGGCAGAGTGTGCGGTCTGCGAGTTCCCTCCAAACTGGCGCCCCAATTCCTGGACAAACAGAGTCCGTGTTTGTCTGTCCACAGCGGTCTGTGTTGTTCTCCTTCTAGGCCAGGAGATCCCTGGGGTAGGTGACCATGTCGGGGACGTCATTGACCCACTGGGCCCACGGGGGAGAGGCAAGGACAGCCTGGGTGATGACAGGGCCAGCCGCCTGCCCAGCTGGGCCCGCCTACCTCGAGCAGGGTGGTCAGGCTGAGGCAGCCCAGGGGCCATGCTTCCGTTGCCTCTGCTGCCACACAGGACATTCCACCAGGAGGAATGGAATTTACTCTCTGGAAAGTGACCACCTTTCCTGGCAGGACTCCCTGCAGAAGCTAGGGCTTTTCACTGCTTCTCAGGACGCTGAGAGCCTCCGTCTGAGGGTGCCCCTTGGAGCTGGCGTGTATGGGGTGGGGCAGGCTCCCAATACTACCGTCTGCTTTTTGTGGCTGTAGGAAAGTCCCTGCACCTTTCCCCATCCTGGGGGGAGTGGAGGGCTGGGCCCCTTCACAGTGTGGAGCGGGGAGGTGAGGCGGAAAGGACACCAGAGCGGGTGAGCTGGGGTCAGGGCTGCTGAGCATCCTGCTCTGGTGACATTGCTCTGATGGCAGGTCCTTCTCTTCTGGGTGGCCAGACTCTGAGACCTAGGCAGAGCCAGGCCCTGCACCCCAGGGTGGGCCTGGGTCAGGGTGCTCTGAGCCGAGGTTGGGTCCAACTGACAGTACCGAAAAGAAACGCTCCAGCCACAAATGGGCTCTTCTCAGGCCAGCTTGGGGTGGGCCTTCGCCCTCAGGCTGTGGTGATGGGACCAGGATGGGGCAAAGGCTAGGGCCAGCCTGGCCACGCTTCGGCCTTTCCTGGTTCCCAGTGTGCAGCTTGAGGGGCGAGGCTCAGTCATTGCCCACAGCCCCCCATCCCGGGAACCACCTGGGGGTTGCTTTTCGAAGCACTGAGAGCCCTGCCCATTGCTGGTCCTCGCCTCAGGCCTCTGTGACAGGCTGCGGATCTTTCTGTGAAATTAGATAATCGGCACAGGAGGACAGGGTTTCAGCCCTCAAACAGGCATGGAGAATGCTGCAGCCGTGTCTACCCCACACTCTACTGCCCCTGAGGCTACGCATCCTGGGGCTCAAGGTTCTGACAAGGCCTGCAGAAGGGGAACCAGGATGACTGTGTTTAACCCACTTCCCAAACTCATTTGATCCTGGAATCTATGTGATCCCACAACACCCACGAAACAGGCTTTGAGAAGTGCTGGCATGGGACTTGAGGCCACATGTCAGAACCGAATTCTGCTCCCCAATTTGCCACGTGACGGTGAACATCAGTGTCCTCACTCAGGTTAACCAGGCAGGCTCAGAACTCTCGGTCCCTCTGTCCCTGAGACACCTGGCACGCCAGCCATGGCCACACTCGGAACGTCCTCCCCGCTGCCGCTCCCGCAACAGACTGACTGGTTCTCTCTCCCCTTCTCAGGGAAACTCCTTCTCCCAGGACTCTGACACAGACCTCTGTGCCTGCATGCAAGGAACAGCGAACTGGCCTCACGGGACAGAGGTTTTAGGGAAGGGCTTCCTAGATGACAAAGTGGACAGGGCGTTGCTGATGTGAACACAGGTGGCCCGGTAGGACCCTTTCAGTAAAGCTGAGAAGGCAGACAGCAGAGAGGCAACGGAGACAAGGGTGAGTCCCCATGGTTTATTATGGAAGCCTATGAAAGAGCCACACTGAGTATTTCCAAAATCACAAAATGCACAACATTCATTTTTTTAATATGCAACATGGAATATTATATACAGATTAAAACCACGACAGCAAAAACACTCACACGGTACCAGTTTCATATCAAAACAAAACACACAAGTGCTTTTTCAATATTAAAACAACTGTGATAAAAACATATTAATATTTTGAACCATGTTTACAATAGAGCAAAATTCATATTTTACTAAATAACAAATATTTAACAGCAAAAACTTTATACTAAATATCTATTTTGAATTATAACAAAAATAGTACTTATAATAGTTTATAAAGACAGACACAAAATTATAACATTTATGAAAAAAAAAAAGTTTGTGTATAAAATGCTATAGCCATCTGGGCAGGGTCATGGTGGTGCCCGGAACACAAACGCCAGCGCCCAACATTGAAAGTGCTTCAATCTGCAAGCCCGTGGCAGGAAGAGTTTTGTGGGTTTCGTCTTTTTTAGGTCAAGTTACAATAGTTAGGGATGATAAGTGAGAAATATCACCCATCTAACGCTAGATCTATGAAACACACATGCACACACACACAGACACAGTATCTCACTAAAGAGCTGAAAGGAGGGGCGAATTACAACACAGGGAGCCTGTCAGCCAGCCAGAGCTTTCTTCGGCTCTCTTCTCATTGCCTTTGAGACCCAGCGGGCCAAACGATCCTTCTCTCCTCCCTCACAGGGACCCCCCTCGGTTTTTCCTTCTCTGCCCCCTACCAGGCTGGCCACCCCAAGGGAAGGTCCCTGAGGCCTCCCAGCCCCATGCCTCCTGCTCCTCCCCTGGACCAGACCCAGCGGGCTTCTTGTCTGAAGTTCTGCTTACTGCTCTCCTAGATAGGCAAAAGCAAGTGGTTCAGGGCCAGCTGGATCAGCCTAAAGGCAAATGAACCTTCCAGATACTGGTTTTGTGTGTGTGTGTGTGTGTGTGAGGGGTATAAGTTCAGGTGCACTATGTAGCTCTATTGCAAGCTTTGACAAGTATTTACCCATTCTGGCCCGTTTTTCAGAATTGGGGGTGATTAAGGGATTTTTACCAATGTTTTTAAAAACGTCAAACTAGTTTTGCCAATAATGTCTGTTCCACACTTTTTTTTAGTAGTGGAAAAGCAGGAAATAAATGAAACATCTGAGTCAGGGGTTGTAGAGAATCTTCGTGATACAGGCTGTTCCTGAAGTCTACGGTCAGGGGGGCCATGAGTGGGGTCAGGGTTGGTCTGTAGGGCTGCCCACGGGATCTGGTCTCAGGGAGCGGCGGAGGTGATCACAGCAGCGATTGGGGACTGAGATGTCCTTCATTCTTCTGTGTTTTCGACAGCATCAAAAACCAATAGAGAAACACAGAAAGCAAGGAAAAATCTGAAAGCAGACACAACTGCTTAGAGACTCACCGAAGGCCCCAAACCATCCCCAGGAGGCATCCCAAATCGCCAACACTCAAAACGCCAGTGGCAGGAGCTACTCCTCTTTCACCCAGTCATCCCAACTGGCCAGTTTCCAACCCAATCCCTCTGACAAACCGCACGTAGCCGCCTCTTCAGCTCTGGTGGCAGCCTCCTCGCAGCTGCCCAGAGACCACACTGCCCGTCCGGAGTCAGCTCCCAGGCAGGACTGCCGCTGTGCACACCTCCCCCACGCTTTCACCTCTTCCCCGCCCCTGAGCTGGGCTAAGCAGACAGTGGCATAGAGGTGGAAGGGACTTCCAGGACACCTTTTTCAGGGTTGAGGGCAAAGGGGGAGGGTTAAGGAAAGGAAGACGGAGGCCCTGGCGCCCCGTCAGAAGAACCCGTATCTTTCCCCGTACTCACGCACTGGAGTCAGGGGCACTGGGGTGAACAGGGACCAAGCAGGAAATCTTGGCCACCTCCAAATCTACCTGATCAGGGTTTTTGACAGGACAGGGAAGAAGCAATGGGCCATGTCCCTTCTCCACCAGGGACAAGGCAGAGGCTCCAGACTTCAGCCCAGGAGTGAGGTTCCGAGATTAAACCCAAATAATAATGCCCAGAGCCGGGGAAGGCTGTTCAACCCTAGGCCTGGGGGCTGGGTTTGACCAGAGACCCCTTCCTCTTCACTCACAGAAGTCTGGCCAGGACAGCTGGAAAACAGGCTAGGGCATGCAGGAGAGGAGATGTTTGTTCCAGACCCCAGTATCCCCAAGATTCTCTAACAGTGAATAAATATGGGGGTGGGCAGCACATGAGCCGAGGGCCACAGGCCCGAGTGTGTAGCAGGGCCTGGTTCAGCAGGGGGTGGGAAGGTAGGGGTGTCAGTGCACCTACCCAGGGCCACCAGGGAGGATGCTGGGGAGACAGGACCTGGGGATCCTTTGCCCCAAGGTCAGAGGACAGAACAAGTAGCAGCAATAATTTCAAATGTCCAAACCGGCAGGGGAGGGCAGGAGCGGGGGCATGAAGAAAGACAGTCTCCAGGTTAGTGGCAGCCCCCGCCCCGAGGCTGACTCCTGCTACCCAGGATGCTGTTCCTGGGCAGACGCGGTGGGGGCACAGGGGGAGGAGACGCTGAAGTGTGTGCCAAAGGGGGCACTGCTCTTCCCGTCCCCCAGCTGCAGCTAAAAGGGTCCAAAGGGAATGGAGGGAAGGAGCAGTTCAGAAGATCACAAGAACACTGTAGCACGAGCTGACACCTAACACTGTCACGGGCATGCAGAGCCCCCACCACGCCCTTCCCAGGGGCTGAGCTGGTGGGAAATTCGGAGCGGCTGGAGGGAAGCAGGACCCAGAAGGGGAGCCAGGCCCTAGGAAGGATGGGGCCCACTGGCTTTCGGTAGGGTTTGCCAGGGAGGGGGAACAGGGAAGGGCAAGTATGGGGGCCACTCGCCCTCCCCATTCCGGCCCCTCCCACACACAGGTTTCTACCTCCCATCACCGCCTCCCCACTGCCTGGGCTGGGCTGAGGCGGGTGGGCTTAGGTTAGACGGTGGCGCTCAGCATGGCCTCTGTCTCCGGCAGGATCTTGTTCTGGTTGGAGTCCAGGCCAAAGAACTTGACGCTGAGGCCATCCACGGGGTGCAGGACAGGGACCAGGGTGATGCGGGGGAAGGTCCTCGTGGCCAGCTCAAAGCGGCTGGTGCTGGCCAGCTCCACCGCCAGCACCTTCAGGAACAGCTTGGCCAGGTGCTTGCCCAGGCAGGTCCGGACGCCGCCGCCGAACGGGAGGTAATGGAAGCGGCCGTCCTTGTCCTCGCTCCGCGCCTGGCTGAAGCGGTCGGGGTCGAACACGTTCACGTCTTTGAACACGGGCGCTGTGTCGTGGGTGTCCCGGATGCTGTACATGACACTCCACCCTTTGGGGATCTGGAAACCCTGGATCAAGAGGGGGGCCGGGGAGCAGGTGGTGAGAGCCAGAGGGGCCCACGGAGGGACCAGGACTGCCCGCTCCCTGCCCAGCCCGGATGTTCAAACCTGCCTCTTCTTAGAAACACGCCACAGTGGCCCCCAAGGCCTGGCCAGCCTGCCACATGCAGCATGTTAGTAGATGTGCACATGCAACTCACGTATGCCACCCAGCTTGCTTTCATCTGACTGCATTTGGGGCACACTTCTCCTATCAGACTGAAAGCTCCCTGAAGCCAGCACTGGCTCTGCATCAGGCCTCAAGTCCTCAAAGTGGAGGCTGGTCTCCCATCTCACCCCCATCACAGTGCCCCCGCCTCCCCACCGCCCACATCACGGGCCCACCCTCACATCGAGCTCGAAGGTCTGCAGCACGGTACGGTAGCCGCCGGAAATGGGCGTGAACAGGCGCATGACCTCCTTGATGACGCAGTCCAGGTAGCGCAGCCCACTGAGCGTGTCCAGGCGCAGGGTGCCCTCGCAGGGGCAGCCGCCGCTATGCAGGATGCCATGAGCCCGCAGCTCTTCCCGCAGCTTCTCCAGCACAGCGGGGTGCTTCAGCAGCTGCATGATGAGTGAGGTGCTGGCGCTGGCCGTGGTTGCATAGGCCGCAAAGATCAGCTCTAGGGTCCCGTCCTGAGGGCACACAGGAGAGGCATTGTTGGAGGTCTGGGTTCAGCCAGGCAGGGGCCGCCCCATTCGGCCAGTGGCCCCTGTGCCAAGGTCATCTGTGCTGGGCCCTGCCTGCTTCCTCTGAGCCTCATGTGCAGGGTCATTAGTGTCACCATGGACATGAGAGTCACAGCCACTCCCTGGCTGGGCAGAAGACAAAACTGCTGTGACATAGGCAGAGCACTGGCCTAGAGTCCCTTGAAGTAGGGCCACTTCTCACTCACTGCTGGGGTCCTGGGCCAGTCCCACAGGCCTGATATGCAGTGGGCTCACAGGAGAAAAAGAACAAATCCCAAGGAGCCAGGCCCTGCGCGCAGGTATGCGTGTGCACTGTGGGCGATGTGGGTCTAAATCTGGGCCTTCCAACTCCCAGTGCCAGCCCCTTCCTCCAACACAGGAGGATGTCAGGGGGAGTCAGGGGAGCCAATGGGGCCTGGCAGGCAGCCTGGGGCCACACCCCTGGAGACCTGGGATGAGGCTGAGGGGAGGTGACCTCCAGAGGACCTGAAGACCCCGCCAGGGCTCTCTGGGGAGCAAGACACCAGGGCCATGGGTTCCCCATAGAAAGGCCCCAGCAGGCCATCTCATAGCAATCCTTGCATTTCCCAAATGTGGACTCTGGGTCCAGGGAGGGGAATGAAGGGACCTGGGTCCGTTACTGGCCATGGCACCCCCATAAATCAGAAAGCTGACTATAATGGGAAAGCCACTCGGGCTTCTTCCTACCTCCCCAGTAAAGAAGCTGGAGCTAGAATATGGGGAGGCAAAGACAGCGGGCAGGGGGGGCTGCAGTGAGTGTCCGTGGGCACCGGCAGTGGAGGGGCCTGCAGAGCTCAGGTGCGGACAGGTGAGTGAGCCCTTCTCAGGTGAAACATCCACCCAAAGCAGGGCAAGCAGGCCCTGTGTGGAGCACAGCTGGGTTCACCAGGCGCGGGGGGAATGGGAGGGGATGGAAAGTGCCAGCAACCTGAAAAGGCTGGGGGTGGGAGAGGAGACCCCACATGCAAATCTCCCCTGCTCTTCCCCAAGGGCTGAGGCTGGCACCAAGCAAGTGGTTTCCCCTTGTGGGCCTGTGTTTTCTTAGATGGCCTCCCAGGGATATTGGGACCAGGACATGAATTGAGATCTCTCCCAGGCCTGAGCTCACTGCAGGCCATGGGGAGAGGAGGGTGCCCCATTGCATCCTGCACAGCAGGGGCAGGGACATGGACTTTGCTTCCAGTTTCACCGTCTCCAGCCACTGCTCAGAAAGCATGTGTGGGGCGGGACTAGAGTGGGGTAGAAAGGGCCGGGCATGTTTCCATTGAGGAAAGCTCAGAATGGAGTGTGGGTGCTGGTGCTGCCAGCCAGGGGCATGTGCCCCCACTACCTTCAGCTCCTGCATGGTCATCTCCTTTCCGTGCTCCTTGCTGCTCTCGATGAGGAGGTCCAGGGCGTCCGAGTAGTCCTTGCCCTGTGTGCACTGCAGCTTTTCCCGGATCGCCTTCTCCAGCCCCTTCTGCAGGATCTGCCGGGCCTGAATGCCCTGCGGGGAGAAAGGGCTGTCACCCACATGGAAGGGCGGGGCTCCCATCTGAGCCTCGGGATCACCAGGGAAGACTCCAGCCTCCTCCTACCCCACACTGACACCTCTCCCCTCTGCCATGGGCCCCATGCCTAGATGCCTGTCTCAGGGTCAGCCACCCACCCCCCGAGAGGAGGCTCACAGGTGCCCCTGCCCCTCTCTTCCAAGGCCCTGGTGCTCACCCGCCGGTAGCCGCTGAAGGGCAGGTCGACAGGCAGGGAGAAGACGTTCTCCACAAACTGCTGATAGACCTCAAAGAGGTGCCCAAGGTCCTCCTCAGGGATGCTGAAGCCCAGCAACACCCGGATGGCCATGCGGAAGGTCAGCTTCTGTGCCTCCTGGTACACATTGATGGCCTCAGGGTGGCTGCTCCAGGCGCGCAGTGTGTCCTGGATCACCAGCTGGATCTTGGGCAGGTAGCTTTCCAGGGCCTCGTGGCTGAAGATCTTGGAAAAGACCTGGAAGGCAGAGAGGCAAGTGGGTGAGCCAACTGGTACAGCCCGCCCCTGGCCAGCCCCTTACTCTGCCTGAACAATGAATGTGACCAGGGAGAACTTCAGCTTCCATGCAATAGCAAAGCCTTGGGAGCTAGGCAGGCCAGCTGCCAGCAAGTCTTTGGGGGATGTGGCTTGCGAGGGGCACGAGTGGGGGCTGAGCAGGCCAGAGCAGGGAGGCTGCCCTTATACCACAAAGCCCGTTTCGGAATCGCAGGACAAAGGGCAGGCGTGCCGGGAGAAGTGGAGCACAGGATCGGACTGCACAGGGAAGTAGGGACGGCCCTCGGGGGAAAGCCACTCCACGGATGGGACAGCAAGAAAGCCTGAGACTAGACCTCAAGCAGGACTTCCTGAGAACCACAACTTATCACTTGCAGGAAACACCTACTGGGTGCAGATTCCAGGAAGTTTATTAACAGCTGTGCCATTAAAAAGCCTTCAGTGAGGCCAGGTCCAGAACCAGGGGGTTTGGGGGCAACGGCTTTCCGCCCTCAAAGATCATAAAGACAAACAGAAGCCCCGTGAATTCCCAGCATCTTCCAGGGCCACTGGAAGCGGCCAGTGAGTCCTGTCTCCACCGCCCTGCCTTCTGTCCTCCCGATGGGCTCCGCAGCCCCCTCGCCACCCCTCCTCACCCAGGTCTCCCAGCACAAGTTTTTCATGTGTGGAGGAGAGGGGAGGATGTTAGTTTATTTACCAATAGCCCATGGGTCTCACTTGCAAGCAGCAGCCTCCATCCCACCAGAGTTCAGATGAGAAGGGGGAGTGCCCCCTGCTACCAGCACCAAGCAAAGGCCGGGAGGGGAGGGACAAGCAGAAGAGGGACCCCCCCGCCCCACCCCATGCAAACCACACACACGCGCCGCCCTCCCCTCCTGCCACCCAAACACAACCACCGCACAAACTGTAAATGTGAGAATTTCCCCTGCAGTCAGCTCAGGGAGGAAAGGTAACATTTTCCTGGCCTGGGCCCTGCATGGCTAATGGGAGGGCTGGTTTGCAGAAATAACAGTGCTGGCCCTTCAGTGGCCCAGCCAGGCGTTCACAATAGCACTTTCATTCCGAAATTCCCGGTGGAGGGAGGGAGGGAGGGCAGGAGGCCGGCAAGGGGCAGAGAGGCCTGCGCTGTTTGGGGCAGGCCTGCTACAAAGGGACAACTGAGAGGTGGAAGGGTGATAGGAGGTCGCCTAGGTCAGCCTAGGCCCAGATGGGTCGCTCACACCTTGCCCAGTTTTGGGGGTCACAGGGGACTCTAACAGCTGCCTCCCTTCAGAGAGTGATGGATAAAGGCAGTGTTGTTTGCTTCAACCCCCAACCCTCGTGTCCTTAGGATTCCAGGTTCAGCCTTTGGGCAAATGAAGGGTCTTGGGGGAATGGGAGGGCACCTTTACCCTGGAGCCCAGCACCAGCCAGTGAAGCACCCCTTACAGACAGCAGAGAGCCACAAGGTGAGCAGACAATGGGGTGAGCAGACAGCCATACATAGGAAGGGAAAGTGCATCAGGAAACGAGACAGAGGGCAGGAAAATCACTCTGCGGCCACCAGACCTCCATGGTGGGACAGGGAGCCCAGAGGTGGGACAGGAAGGGCCAGAGAGGTCATAGCTGGCCCAGAGCCAGCCAGCTGTGGATGGACTAGGGGTTCTGTCACGGAGGGTGCAGGTTAGGGGCTGGCCAGGGCCCCCAGCACATGGGAAACCTGATCCAAAGACAGATGTGAGGAGTGGGGAAAAGGCAGAGGCCACATCCACCAGGTCCAGCCAAAGTTGAAGCCAGTGGGCTCTAAGGTGTAGTGGGTGACAGAAAAGGGGCTGAATTGTAACTGTGCATCATCCAGCAACTTACAGTGTGATCATGGCTGAGTGGCCACCTGCTCCCCCAAGCCTTAGTTTCCTCATTTGTAAAACAGTGAGGTGGAGCCAGGTGACCTCCTTTCAATCCACTGAGCACGTCAACATCTGCACCCAAACATCAGCTCCCAAACATCGGCACTTGCCCCTAGGCAGATGCTACCCTTCAAAGCGGCCCAGAACTTGGCAATGTTCAAATTCCCTGGAGAGTGCCTTCCAGACCCCACTCACGCACCCCAAATGGGCTACAGTGGCCCGGGAGGGGCCATCTCAGGGTTTCAAAAGGGGGAGCATGGAGGGCCCCCACCTCACCCATGGACAAGCTCTGCCCTGCCCTATGGGTTCTGTTTCCTGCGCCCTCTAGCGATGGCCGGCTGAACTGCTCCTTCCCAGGCCTTGGGGGCCCTGGAGGGCAGGCAGGGACAGTCCAGGAAGAGAGAAGGCTCCAGGGGGACCTGGAACTGAGAGGAGGACTCCAAGGACAGAGGTCCACACCTGGCCCTCAGAGGGAGGGGGTCCATGGGCAAGGCCAGAAGCTGGAATCCTGGAAAAGCCACTGCCACCCAGCACCTGCAGGTCCCTGGGGCTGAGGCTTCTGGAAGAGAAGTGAAGGCAGTTCCAGGACTCCGTCTTTGCCGCAGCTGACTTGCTGAGTGACAGCCAGCAGGCCGCTACCCCTCCTGAAGGTGTTTCCCCGCTGGGTTCATAAGAGGCCCGACTGGCCCTTCTGAGGGCCTTTCCGCCGGGCTGTCCATGATGCTCCTCAGAGCCCACCGCGAGGTGGAGAAACCGCCCAAATAAGAAGCCCAGCAAAGGTCAGTGGAGGGCACTGCAGCCCCAGGGGCTGGGTTCAGAGGCACTAGGTCCAGGCCCCTTCCTCTGGCCCAGCTGCCCCACAGGCATAGGGGCCTCCCCAGTGTGGGAAGCCTCCAGGGCCTCATCCCTGGTTCTGTGCCCAGGGGTAACAACGCAGGCACTTCCGGAAGCTGGGGCAGCTCTGAAACCACCACCCGCCGCAAAGGACGGCGGAGGCGGAGGCGGAGGCCCGGGCTGGGGCAGAGGGCTGCCGGGGCTGCGTCAGGGAGGGCTGGGTCTGAGGCCGCCGCCTGCTAGGGTCAAGACTGGGGCATACTGGGAAGGTGCCAGGGAGCGGCTCTGAGTGAAGAGAGGAAGGGTTCGGGCCGCAGCTACTTCCCTGACCACAGGCGTCGCAGGAGCCAGGCTGCTTTGTTTCCCTCTGGGGCTTCCCTCGGAATTCCCAAAAGTCAGCCAAGAAGGCCGGACAAAGGTCACTGAAAGCCAGCCCAGGCCCAGACCAAACCCTGCAGAGGGAGCGGCAGGTATGGCCTTCCCACCACGGCTGGTGCCGGGGGAGAGCGAGAGCACTGTGGCAGAAGCAGGAGCACCGTTCAGGTTTACCTGCTGCAGCCTCGGAGGCTTGGGCAGGAGGGAGGAGGGCACTCGCTGGGAGGGATGGCCTTGGACAACGCCCCCGCCAAGCCCCCAAGGACACCACAGGCTCAGGAGTCCGCACCTTTGCTTCTCTCCTCCCTCCGGGGTGGGAGCTGATTCCACAAGGGTCTGGGGGCACCCCCAGGGGCTGGTGAAGGCTCAGATCCCCCATCAGTATTTCTACAAGTGCCTTCTCCCCGACCAGGTCTCCTCACCCCTCCTGCCTCTCACCCAGTGCCCTGGGGGGGAAGTCGCTCTGTGAACCCCTATGGCCCTGCCGGCCACGCTTGCTCAGCCAGATAGCCTCCCCCTTCTCTGCTGGTCGGTGTGGACAGATGGACAAACGGATGGGCGCAGGGGCCTGCAGAGCTGAAGCAGGGACCCACTGCCCCGGCCAGTGACTCAGACTGGGAGGAATGGAAACGGCTGCCCAGGAGGGTGGGGGCCTGGGCAGGCCACCCGGCCAAGACACCGGAGCCTCGGCCTGAGGAGTGGAAAGAATAACAGAGGGCAGGCCGCCGCTGAGGCAGCCGTCCGCACAGGGGTGACGCCAAGGTGTGTACTTTATATTCAGGCAAGGAGGGTGAGAGCACGTCATCTTCCCAGCTGCCTGGCATTTCCACTGGGCCTCAGCTTCACCCTGGTCCACTGGAAATGCCAGGCAGCTTCATCCAGAATTGGAAATGTCCAATCCGGGTGTGTGGGGCTGGGCACACTCAGTCCCTCTGGTTTGGGGGAGGCTGGCCCAGATCCCCAATAGGCTCCAGCAGTTGGAGCAGAGCGCCTGCCCCCCATGTGACTCCAGCTGTGATCATCCCACCTGGAGACGTGCCCCCCACTGCCCTAACTCTTCCACACAGCACAAGGTGGGCAAGACAAGGAGAGGCGGGCAGCACTTGGCAGATACCTACAGAGCCACAGATTCTGAGATCTGCCTGGCTGATCTTACCTCTCCTGCCTCCAGCCACCAGGAACCCCCGCCTTAGAAAGCTGTGGGTGGGGAGGGGCCCTCCCAAGGGGCCCCTCCAAGGCCACAGTGCAGAGCATGGCTGGCCACAACCACCAGAGGCCCTGAACCCCCTGCATCCCACCACTCCAGATCCCACAGAACTGCCCTCTGCCAGGCCTGGTGGGCTCTGAATTTATCCAAGGGTCCTGGATGGGAACCTCCTCAGGGTGAAGTCCACTCTCAGGATGAGGCCAGCTGTCCCTGCCACACTGGTGTGGTCCCGGCGTGTCTCAGGGCCCTGCAGCTACTTCTTTTTAGGCCTAGGGGACCCAGCACAGATATAGCGACCAGCATGGGAGGGCCAGGGCCAGGGCAGACCCCACCAAGCCTTCTCACTGCCTGCCAAGGCCACCTTTGTCTTCCAAGGCTGGGAGAGTGAGCAAACACATCAGCACCACAGCCTTGGACCCCTCCCTGCTTTGGGAGAAGGACACAGAAAGGAGGGACAGAGGGAAGGGCTGGCCCCCGTGTCCAGGCCGCCCACCCACCCACTGCCTGGCACAAGGGCATGCAGAGGGAGGAACCCACTCCCAGGCGCCCTGGCAGCTGACCATGGGTTCCCTCCCCCACTGACCTTCAGATAGATCCGCTCCCGCCACCTGCCCCCTCAGCAGCCCCTGTGCCCACCCACTGGTGCTACAGTAACTTTTGGGTAAAGGAATTGTGTTGGCAGAACAAAGGCGTTGTGCCTTTGCCCGGGGGCTGGGGCAGATCTCCCAGCAGCAGAACTGTCTGGCTGGATGGCCTTCCATCCAGCGCAGGCTGGACTTTCTGCCCTGAGCTGAGCCTGGTGGACATTACTGTAGCCAGAGGCTGTGCCTTGGTCCAAGGCCTCCTAGAGCCAGTGTGGGCTAGCCTTCCCCAGGACCCCACAACCATGGGTACTCCTCGCACCATCCTCCTGCTGAGCATCTCCTGGCCTCTCCATTCCAACACAGACCCCAGCACAAGGTTCCAAGATGAGACCCAAAGGTCAGGGACGGTGGGTGGACAGGCAGGGTTTCTACCTCCAAAGCCTAGTCCCCCACCTCGGCTTCAGGCCTAGAAGGCCCTGTAGGCAGGGGTTTGTGTAGAAGGGGCAAGACTACCACTCCTGAGGTCTCCCCAGTCCAGGGGCTCCCAGGCTCAGTCCCTCCCCTGAAATACTCTCCAAGTTCCCTGAGGGTAACTCCAGGCCACTGTTCAGGGGTGCCCTGAAGCTGCTGGGTTCTTGATGCATAGAGGTCCAGTCCTATCTCCAAAAGAAAAGATGACAGGCCCAATCCTGGCTGGGCAAAGGAAGCTTCTAGAATGATTCCCTAGCTCCTTCTCCATGTTTTGGACAACTGTCTCACTCTCACCATCGTAACCAGAATCCATCTGCTCTTCTACACACAAAGCGAGATGGGGTCCCTCCCTTATGCATCAGAGACACCCCAGGCCCTGGGCAGGGGAGGGGTAACCCAGGAGCAGGGAGGGAGTCTGAGGCTCTGATTGCAAGGACACAGGCCTGGCTTCCAGAGATGATTCTGGTAGACTGGGCAAGACTTTCTGGACTTTTTCCCTGGCAACCCCACCCACCCCTGCTGGCCGGAGACCACCAGGGCAGCCAGGGCAAACACCTGGAGCGCAGTGATGGCAGTGAGAAGCCCCCTCCAACACATCTGGTCAGACCTCCCAGAGGCGGAGTGGGCCACCAGCCCCAGTGGAAACAGTGACGCTCCAGTTCCCCACCAGCCGGGCCCCAGCACACCTGGGCCCCACTTCCCACACGTACCTCCTAACCAGGCCAGTCCTGGCCCAGCAGCCCACACTGCAGCCAAGCCCCTGACTCCAGCAAGGGCCGGATAAGGCAGTGTGCGAGGCACATAGCAGCCCCTGCCTTGGCCACACTGAGTCCACCAGGCCTTGGGTCCAACAGATGGGCCATTCTCTCCAGGAGCAATATGAATATTTATAAACAATGGCCCTGAGTGTTTTCCTATCCTCCAGCCAAATTCTGCCTACCTAGCCCCGGGACTTCCATGGAGTTCACTAAACTTAGATCATCAATTAGGCAGATTTGGGGGGAAGGATCCTTTTGTCTAGCTGACTACCCATTTCTCATTCAACTCCCTCCCCCCAACATGACAAGCATAAAACTGCTAGCTACACAAAAAGAGGGGGCCCTGCATTTAGCTCTCAGGCCTCTGGCAGGATGAACCAGCTTCTGGTAACTCCCCACGCATGCCCAGGAAGCTAAAGGACGGGCTGTTCTGAATAGGGAGCCACCCCGCCTCAGCCAGGGCCCTCACTTTCTGCCCCGACGCAGCCCCAGCCCTGCCTCTCCCTTTCCCGTATTCCTCCAACACTGATCATCTGCACCCTCCCTTCCTTCTCCCTCTTCTGTAAATGGACAGTGTAGGCTAAAAGATCTTGGGGCTTTCCTGGCAAGCCCTTCTCCGCCAACACCTGGAGGCCCCAGGCCAAGTCAGGCCCAGGGTGGGTGGAACTCCAAGGCCACGGCCTCACCCCAAAGCCCTCTGGACCCCAGGGTCTCACAATCTGGTCCTGGCCGCACTGCCTTTCTGTAAGCACTCACTGTCCACCCCAGGGTCCAGCAGCCCCAGGCGGGCAGGGCAGAGAAGGACTCTCCTTGGGGATCCAGAGACTTCCATGGACGATGCAGTCCCGTGTTGCAGGCTCTCCCGGAAATTTTTTCTCCTGACCCGGTTCAAGTATCCTTCAACTGCTCTACACCTCAGTGGCCCCTTCCGCAAAAAGGGGACAATAATTCCCCTCTGGCAAAGCCTGTGGAAAGCGGAGGTCAGGAAGCAGCCATCTCCTTTTGGAGCTGAGTCTCCTCTCCTCACTCTTCGAAACGGGCCTGTGGTGGAGTTGCAAAGGCTGACAGGAAAATAACTGCCCGACACCTTTGAAAAGCCCTCATTCCGAAGCCTCCAACCCCCTCCCCGCCACTCCCCAGAACCCCTCTCCCGCCGCCCCCAGGCTGTGATAACTGCTTCCAGCTAGGAGTGGGGCAGATGGAAGAGAGGACTTTGGGAGCCCCTTTCCAGTTCCTGAAATACAGGCTGTAGAAGGGAACTGGCGTGGGGGCGGGGATCAGCCCAGTCTCCTCGGTTTGTTTCTTCTTTTGTCTGCCTTTAAGAATTACCCTTCATAGGCTGTTCAGAACGTCAAGTGCTACAGGATGCGCCAGCGAGTAGATGGCTCCCCACTTTCTCCGAGACCACCGCACACCCTGCCCCTGGCGAGGGAGTCCGCCTCCCCGCCTCCCCACCTCCCCGGTCTGCTGCCGCTTCCTTTCCTTAGGTTTCAACCCTGGATGAGTCCTCTGATCCAAAGGAAAAAAAGGGAGTGGGGGAGGTCCTGCAGCCTCCCTCCGGGGCGGCTTAGGGCCCGCCCGCCGGCTCCGCTTTCGGGTTACTGCAGTTCAAACAGCACGTGCCGCCCGCGCTGGGAGACGGACGCAGCCGGGAGGGGCTGGGGCCTACCCCGTGCGCGCCTCCTCCGCACCTCCTCCAGTCGCTCGGGAAATCCAAGGGATAAACACCCACTTTCCCTTCCTTTTTCAGGGGGGTGGGTGCGCTTTGATCCCCGCTCCTGCCTCTCCTGCTCTCCCCTGACCCCGCCCGTCCTTCCCCCACGGCCCAGGCCTCTGTGCTCGGAGGCCCAAAGCTCGCCGCACTTCTCTCGGACCAGGCCTTGCCACCGCAGCCCACAAGCTGTCCCCAACTTCCACGCGCCGCGCCTGCTCGCGCCTCCCTTCAAGCAGCGTGGGTGGGAAGGGCAGCTTTGATTTTGGAATGATCGGTCTCCAGTCCTCGGAATTCCCTAGGAAACGTGGCGAAAAGGCGAACGCTGGCCAACTGTCCTGCCCCCTTCTTTTTCCAGCTCTGTGGAGCGAGGCAAGGACATGCGTTCGACACCCCAGACCCCGCACACTCAAGCTCTTCCAAGCCACCGTTGGTGGTGGCCACGGCGCAGCTGGCCAGCAGGATAAGGGACCAAGAGGAGGCCAGTGCAGGCCCTGGATCTGGGCTCGAGGCCTTGTAGGAGCGGAACTGTTGGGTCTTCAAGCATGGTGCGCAAAGTGGGGGCACAGATTCGGCAGGGGACATTTCCCAGGGCTCCACGAACTCCTTGCCCCGAGGTGGGGGTGGGTGCGCGGAAGAAAGGGGGCAGAGTTCTTACCTTGCGCTTGTTGCGGTGGATGTCGCCAATGGAATTGGACACCGTGTTGGGGCCCAGCAACATGCGCGTGCTGCGAGGCCACTCGGTGCTTACGAGGTGGTGCTCGCCCATGAGGATCTTGCGCACGTTCTCCGCGCCGGTCACGCGTATCAGCGGCCGCCCCAACAAGTGCGTCTTGAACACGTTGCCATACTTCTCCCTCCGCGACGACTGGAAGCCAGAACCCTGCGGGAGCCACACCGAGGGTCCGTCTCAGGGTACACGTCTGCAGAGGGCCCGCGAGGGAGGGGCGGCGGACCCCAACCGGGGGCACTGTCACCTGCCCCTTCTCCCCACCAAACACACTCACACAGACACGCACGCAGGTTTTATTTTTCATAGCGTGCACAAGAACTGGGAAGTAGGGCCTAGAGGATAATAATGCAAGGAGGTGGAGGCCCAGGGGCACCCCAGGAGGCTGTTTTTTAGTGATGACTTTCGAGAGCAAAGAGGTATTCCGGACTGCTGGACCCGAAGTGGGAGTCTCCGCCCCCACCCCTCACCCCTACCCCGCGCTAGGGAGCCTCTCGGAATAAATATTTCCAGGCTCCGGGCCACGGGCTGGCGAGACCCCGCGAGGTGGCCATAGGCCAAAGATTATTTATAGCGGCAGGCGGTCGGTGCCCCGTGGCAGCAACTACAGATGGGGGTTGGAGTTTCCTCCGCTCTCCGGTGTGGCCCGCTCAGGGACACGGCGGCCCTCGGAGGACTCGGCTGGGCGGGGTCACGGGCCAAGAGCAGCGATTTTCCTACTGCATTTTGCCCTGGAAATAACGGAGACGGACTTTGGATGCCGCCCTGGAGTCTGGAACCCGAGCGCGGGGCGGGGTGGGGCCGGGCGGGGCCACCCGCGCAGGTAACAGGATCCTCGGCGGTGGCGGCGCAAGCCGAGGACTGCGGGGCCGGGGCCCGGCCAGGCTCTGGGAACCGCTGGCGGAGCCAGCCTTGCGCGGGTACCGGAAACTGTGGGGACCTCAGAGGGGCGGGGGCAGAGGCGTCCCGCTCACCTTTGACGTCGGTACTCGCTACCCCACCCCACGTTAACCCTTCTTCTGCCCCGGCAGCATTGGGGGAAAAGGGGAGGAGCGCCACCTGTCCAGCCGCCCCTCCTGCCCGCCCACCGGCGTACCGACTCGGGCTCCAGATCTACCCGCTCCTGCACTCCTGAGGAGGCAACTCAGCCCCCCATCCCGGGTTAGTCCCCCTCCTCACTTTCCTTTCTTCCAAGGAAAACTATTCTCCAGCTAAATATGCACACACCCGAGTACAGCCGAAAAGTGACTCTGCAGAACCCGGAGTCCTAATCACTTTTCCACATGCGCCTCCGGCCCCTGCGCGCGACGGGGAAGAGCCGGGAGCGCCTGAGCAGCTAGGAGGGGGGCTGGGCCGCGAGAACGCTGTCCCCTCTCCCAGGCTGGAGGACGGGGAGAGTTCCCCCCCGCCTTGCAGCCTTTCTAGACGGCGTCTTCCCCTTTAAGAAAAATCTAGGCGGAGGTGGGAGTGCGACAGAGGGGGTGGTGAGGCGAAGGGTTCCCTCCCTCCGTCTGCTATAACCGTCTCACTCGCTCCGTCTCACCCTCCGTCTCTCCTCTCCTTCTTTTCCTCTGTTTTTCTTTTCTTTCAACACAAAAGTTGGGTTGTGAATTTTCCGAGGTCGCCGCCGCCTCGCCCCCACCCCCCGCCTCTGATCTGCCTAACTATAATTAAAGTGCGTTTTTTGTGGCATTAATAAAGAGTTATTTGTCCGCCGTTTCCACGGTCTTCACAAAGAGGACTTTCATAGGGGCGGCCGCTCGGGCCGCGAGTCCAATTTATACAAAAATGTTGTATTTTTAGCCCTGGGCTCTGTTTAGATGGCGCTCGGTGGAAACGGAGAGCCCTTGGAGGTCCCCCGTAAAATCTGATAAATGACTCCGAAAAAATAACGCTGGGATTCAGAGGGCTCTCATTAACCCCTTAGGCGCTCCTGTACACGCACCCCCTATTTCCCCGGGTTGGAGGGATGGGAAGGGGTAGGTTCCCCCTCCCCAACTTCTGTGCAGGTTGGACGCTGACCCCCAGCGGCTCTTGTGGGATTCGGAGAAAAGGTCACGGGGGGGGGGGCTGGGGGGGCAGAGAGAGGTCTGGAAACGAAGTTGGGGTGGGTGGTGACAGCCCGTGGATTCAGCAGACTAGCTCTAAAAGGCGGGAGCCGTTGCCCAAGTTATTTTATTTCCTAAGTCGCGGCCCAAAGCCTAGAGCACCGCCGCAGTTGATCCTTTAAGTGTGGTGTCTAGGGAGAGGCTCTGGGGATTTCTTTGCGAGGGATGGGGGCGATACTTCCATTGGTTGAAGGGACCCCCACTTCATTACACGAACAACCCCAAAAAGAGAAGGGCCAAATCCGGGACGTGGAAAGACCACAGGGCAGAGTAACCTCGAACCCCCTCCCCGTCCCCGCTTCGCTGTCATTCGGCCCAGGGCAGGGTGAGAGTGTGTGTGTGTGTGTGTGTGTGTGTGCGCGTGCGTGTGTGCGCGCGCGCGCGGATTGCACGCGTCTGTTAATTTCAAGCCAAGCTTTCGCACCTCTAAACCCACAGGTCCCAGCGCTCACCTTTCGCTTCACCTTTCTGGTGCCGGGACTGTTAGTTTCAGGACATTCCTGCTTCCCTTAACAGGACAAACGCGTGTACACCTCCCGCAGGTACCGCAGAGGCGCCCCCCACCCCAAGAAGAAAACTGGTGTGTTTCACATTGCAAAAGCGATTGTCTAGCACTGGATGAGGTTGACTCCAGGTTAAGGTCCCCATTACCTACCTGGGTCTGGTCCCTGACGCTCCCCACCCCCATTGTCCGCCAGCAGAGTGGGGTTGTGCTGCATCTAACAAGCACACACGCACTCTCTCCATGGATCCCACACTCACCTCTCCCAAGTTTCCCTCTCCTGCCAAACTGTCCCCACCCAATAAGTAAATAGACCCTTTTCCCCGAAAGCCGAGAGCCCTGGCTTCTCCGACTTCTCATTTTTCCTTGGGTTACCTTCCTCCTCTTCCACCACAAAACAGACAGACTCGCGCAGACCGCGGACCAGGGCAGCTGTACCTGGCGCTGCCGACGGCGCCACGGGAACAGTTTTAAAACTGCAATTCAAGCTGCCCCCTCAGCTCCCGACTCAATTTTCAGCTCCCAGCGACACAGCCAACCCCAGAAAGCCGAGGGTGACTGGGGCTGAGCACCGAGGAGAGGTGACAGAAGCTCTGGACCGGACGCTCCCTCGGCTCGCGCCGCGCTGGGCGCCCCAGGGGCGCTCCACACCCACCCTGCCAGGCCAGCGGCGACCCCGGCAAGTCTGTCTTGGGAGCCCTCTCAGGTCTGGGAACTCCTCCAACCAGCCTCCTGAACCTGCGCCGCGGGCGTCCGTGGTCCGGGAACCACGCTGCCGGCGGACAGGGGAAGCCCGGGCTGCGGCGGCCAAGAGGAGGGAAGGGGCGGGGCGGGGACCAGTGCCTTCAGGCTCCCGGCGCCCCCTGGCCGGCCCGCCGCTCCGTCCGCCCCGCGCTCGCAGCTAGCGGACCGCGGAGAGCAGCGGAGCGAGCGCGCCCTTACCTGCAGCAGCCAGTGGCCGGTCTCTCCGATGAGCGGGAAGCCCATGGATCCCTTGGGGATGGGCAGCTTGCAGCTCTTGTCACGAGTGGCGGCCCAGCGCAGCTGCCACAGCTGCTGCGACACGGCCAGCAGCAGCGTCACGGACACCAGGCACGCGGCGAGGGTGGCCAGCGCCGACACCAGCTCCAAGCCCTCAAAGAGCATGTTGGCGGCCGCTCGGGGGATTGGCTGTGCCGGCCGCAGAGGGGGAGGGGAGGGCCCGACGGGAGGGGACCGGAGCGGCGGGGGAGGGGAGGCTGCGGCCGGGGGTCCTGGCACCTCCAGCCGAAACAGAGAAGGAGGAAGGGGCCGAGGGAAGGGGAGTGAAGGCTGCGAGGGGAGCGGAGAGAAGGAGGAAAAAAACTGCCTAAAAGAAGAGAGGAGACACGAGGCGACTGGGGTGCAACTTTGTTTGTTTGTTTGTTTGATTTTTCCTTTATAGTGGGCTTACGGGCTGCTCTAGGGGAGGTGAGATGAAGCCGTGAGTCAAGCTTGTGGGTTTGCTCTCCCCGCTACCATCACACTCGGAAAACTTTGGAAAACTTTGTCCAGCGGGAGGGAGCCTCTCTCGTAAGCCCCTTCCCCTGCTCGAAAAAAAAAAAAAAAAAAAAAGAAGGGGGCAGAGAGCTAGCGGAGAGCAAGTGCGGTCGATTTCTCAAAAGTATTGCAGTATGGCCCCAAAATTTCTAGGTGAAAAAAAGAAGGAAAAAATCCTGAATCTAAAAATTCCAACGAATCCAGAAACTTTGGGGGCGAGGGAGAAGACCCCGGCTGAGGCGAGTGGAGAGGCCGGAGCCCAGACGTCCCTGGGCTGCCCCGGGCGGCGCGCCCGAGCCCCAGAGCCGCCGCAGCACCCCCAAGGCAGGCGCAGCGGGCGAGGCGGCGAGGCGGGCGCGGCAGCCGGAGCGCGGGTGCGGAGCCGGCTGGCCGCGGCCGGGACGGGACGCAGCCGGCGACAGAGCCCCGGGCGGGCGCTGGGGCGGCGGCGGCGGCGGCGGCGGACGGGAGGGGTGAGGCGGGGTGAGGTTGGGGGAGGAGGTGGAAAACCCGAGCTGGGCTATTGTATCAATTAAGAAAAGGCAGTCCGTCCCGGGACGCGGTCTCTCGGCTCTGGAGTTGCTGCTGGGGGAGGGGAAAAAAGAAAGGAAGGCAAAAGGAATGAAAGAGGGGGAAAAGCAGGAGGCAGGATTTCAGGGCTGGTGGTTTTAAAAGCTTCTCTCAATGTGAATTTGAGTCCAAAGCAAGGCGATGCGTGTGTTTATATAGAGGCGGGAGGCTGCGCCGTGGGCGCCCCGCCAGCACCCCCCACCCGCGCGCTCACAAAGCCGGAGGCGTGGTGAGAGGCCGGGCCCGCGGCCGGAGCTGGAGAGCACAGCCCGGCCTCCCGCCCCGCCCCGGCCGCCCGCCGCCCGCAGCCCGCCCGGGACCCACTTGTAGCCGCCGCAGGATCAAACTCAGTTCACCTCTCGCCTCCTCTTCTTTCTCGCCGGCGTCTCGCCGAGCCCAGCGCCTACAGACGGACGAGATGAGACACACGCGCGCGCACCTACGCGCACACACACAACACACACACGCCCGCACACACACACACACACAACACACACGCCTGCACACACACACACGCACGCGCGCCCGCACACACACGGTGCGCACTCGCTTAGTGCCCGCTTGGCCTCTAGGCTGCTTCCCTCCCTCTTTTCCTCCTTCCCCTCCTCGGCTCCGAGCAGTCCCTACTGGGCCAGAGCTCGGCAGCGGAGGTCCTGGCCCGACTGCCCCCTCGACTGGGAAGGGAGGCGCCCAAACCCCTCGAACTTGCCTAGGGTCCGGAGCTCCCAACCCGCGGGACCCCGCTGGCTCCTATCTCCAGGGACCCCTCAGTTACCAGCTCCAATCCCCCTAACCCAGATCCCGCATTCCCAATCCCTACATCCTCACACCTCCGATGATGAGGTCCGCCCCCCGCCAAATGTCTCTTACCCTCCGGGACTCGGAGGTTCCCCTGTCCCCGTCAGCGTCCCAGGCTGCTGACTCTGCAGCCCCTCCTCTCCTATACTTCGGGACCCCCCCTCCCCTGCTTTTGTAGTTCCCGTCCACTGCTCGCAGCGTCGGGGAACCCCGATGCTGGTCCGGGCAAGTGTCCTGCGCGGGGACAAACGCGGTGGCCCCGGTACCCAGAGGCGGGAACAGACGGGCACAAACGTTCATTGATACAAATGAGTAAATAAACATGCTGGGTGAGCACGGCCACCTTCTCAGCGCTGGCAGCAGAGGGCCGGGCGCGCGTGCCTGTGTGCGGTGTGCGTGTGGCCCGGGGCCGCACCTGTGTGTTCGCGTGCGTGGCCTTGCGTCGGGCCGACGTCTGAGGAGCGAGGCGGCTTGTCTGTGGGTTTGTGTATTCTTTCTAGAGCCGTGAGTGTGTCTGCGCATCCGTGCATCTGTCATCTGGCCTCTCTTCCTGCGAGCCTGTGCTAAATGGAGCTGCGCACAGCAACCCCGACACCGGTCTCGCCAGTGCCTGCCTTTCGTTCTCGCGGGCATCCGGCTTCCCTCAGCCCCTTGGCTCTGGCGTTCGCTACCGCACTCCCGGAGCCAGAGTGGATATCCCATCTTTGAGTGGGGTGTGTGTCAACGATACTAGGCTCCCCTTTTAACACCTTGCCGGCACCTAGTACGAGTTCTGCTTTAGAGTTCACGAGACCAGACTGCATGTGAGGGTCTAACGTGCGCGCAGATGTGTTGTCCCTCCCTGTGTGAGCGCTTCCGAGGCTGGTGTGGCAGGAGATCTAAACGCTGGTCTAGCCCTCAGCGCTGGGTCACCTCGGCTTCACTCTCTGCCCTGGAACCCCACCTAGTGGACAGTTGTAGTACTACAGATTCGGGGAAACGATTCCCTCTGCACCCTTTCCGCACTCGCCCTTCCTAGTGGGAGATCAGCTCCAAAGGGCCGGCTTGTAGGCTCCTAAAGCATCCCGCTCCTGTCTCAGTGCCCTCAGACTTCCACCCCAGGATGCTTGGGGCCAGTCACTCACGAAGGCCCTGTCAGGACCACTGTGGTCACAGAGCTAGGAAGCATCCTCGGAGTAGGGTGGTTTCACAGGACAGTCACATCTGAACAGGGCACCTTGGAGGGCCAGAGCCACCCCACATCCCATCTGAGGATGAAGCTAACATAAAATGGGGTGGGGAAGATTGTTGAGGCCTTGCTGGCTTGAAAAGCTCTAAGAGTCTAGCCTGACCCCCAGACACAGCACTGGCCACAAGGTGGTGAAATGGGCAAGTAACCCCAGAAAACCCAGCCGTGGAACTCCATCTTCGAAAGGACAGACAGGCACACAGCTTTATAGAGATGCAGATAGATGCACAGGCTGACACTGAGGGCCCATGTGCACACACACACACACACACACACACACACAAGGATCATTGTCACAGTCACAAAACACCCACCTCCCAGCCACCAACCCAAGAAACCACAGGAGGTGTCTGCCGGTGGGGCCCATAGCCCTGGAAGTCCCCAACACGCCATTGCCTTCTTCCCAATCTCCTTACTCCCCAGTGGGGGTGGCTTTTGTGCCCTTTTGTCCTCCCCTGCCCAGCCTCTTTTCCTGTTCCAGCAAAGAGGAGGCGTTGGGAGGGGTGTGGGGGAGAAATTCTGAGTCCTTACACCCTGTGCCAAGTGGGATCCTGGGGAGAGTCTGCAGGGATGGCACAGCCCCACAGCAATAGTGGCTGGATTTCCTAATTGAAACTGCCTCTCTGCTCAAATCTAAAAAAGAACTTGGGAAAGATGAAAAAGAGAGCCTTGGTGCTCCACTCTAAGACTTCCCGGAGGTGCTGTGGAGAGTGGGGGTGCTGAGGCCGTGGACAGGCTTGTGAAGGGGTGGCTAGGACAGAGAAAGCTCAGCAACTGTCTTTGCCAGTCAGATTCCATCAGAGGACTTTCACTAACCTCAGATGGACTTCTGACTCTCGTCCCAGACAGAGCCCTGCTCCAAACCTCAGTGTAGCCTGCAACCCTGACCTAAAGCAGACCCCTGAGCCGAATCCCAGAATGATCCTTAGTCCTGGTCACAGATTGACCCTGTCTCAAAGCCCAGACTGAATCCCGGTACTACCAAGTATCATTGTGGCCACAAAAGTATGACTGGCCCCTTGTAGGCTGCCCCAAAGCTGGGGCACAGCTCAACTCCCGAGGCCCTGGGAGCACGGGCATGTTCTAGGCAGGATATTGCCTCATTCTAGCCTTGGAATGATACACCTATTGCCCAGTGAGCATCCTTCTCCCGCCAGCTGGTTGTAGCTAATGTCACAGGAACTCCCAGACTGCCACCCTCCCACCACACACGTGCACACACACGCGCGCACACGCACACACATACACACACACACACAACTCTTTCCCATGGGCCCAGGACACACCCCCGGGCTTCAGCTATTGCCTACAGTGCTGCAGTTCAAGGCCGGCCTCACATGTCCCTGTAGCCTTTCTGGCACTTTGAAATCAGTCAGAGCAGCCTGGGAAATGAGTAAGGCAATGCTGGTTCAAGTGGAGCGCTGCCTGGTGACATCTGCAGGCTTTGGCAGAGAGGGCCTGGGAAATAGGGAGGGTAGGCCGCAGGCACTCTTGGAATATGCACACCATGAGCAGACACAGCCTTTGCACCCGCTTCTGGAGCTCCGAAAACCCTGAGCACAGGGGC